CCCCAAAACCCCAAAACCCCAAAACCCCAAAACCCCGTACATAAGCCACAGATTGAGTTAACACTTATAATATTTTAGTTTAGTAGGATGACATACAGACTACAAGGACTACTTTTGAGTTTATGCTTGCTTGCTCTACCTCTTGCCTTGTCTCTTGAGGGTGAAAACTATGGGCTTGAAATTATGAGGAATCATAGAAGGTATACCCCTCCAGCCTACCTTTTCCAAACCCATCTCAACTTGTTTATAGGGACCTCCGAACATGCGAAGAAGGGGTGGAAGGAGACAAACAATTCAACGAGATATTCGTGTATGCCAATGTGCGTTATGCAGGATGCCAAGATAGGTATTACCACTCCGTGGGAAACAGAACTGGAGATTATTATATCTCACTATCTTGATTTTCAAGGAATGAGTTCACCATTTCTAGAATAAATCAAGAAACTCTTGATACAGTTTGGTCGATCAAAAATAGCAACAGACAGCTTAACATTATCCCTAATCCAGAGGAGACAATAGTGCACTGCATCTTTGGACAAAGTACCACCTATTATTACATGGAGCTGGACGCGAAAAATGGGAAAATTCTGAGAATTTTTAGGCAGTAAGTTCACCAATTTTCGATTTTACGAGACTAGAAATATTTTCGAGAGTCTCAGTTTGTTTATTTAGAAGTGGTCGATTTGTTTACTAGAAGTTTTTAGTTTGTTTATTGAAAGGATTGGAGGGACTTTGAGGTTATTGTTATATATTTAAAGAAGATTTAAGTTAGGCAAGGTAGATTAGACATACGGCAGAAATTAGCTTCGCAATCTATTGTGAAGAAGCTGGCTAAACGGTGGGAATTTCTATCTTCTTACCTGACTTACTACCTTTTTAGCAAAATTTCTCTATTTATTACCCTCCCAACTCATCCTCCCTCATCTTCCCAACTTCCTTGCTCCTTAACCCCTTCACAATCTCCCCTTCTCCAACTTATCAGCATGCTACTCTCTTCTCATAGCCTCAGGAAGACGTATCCTTTCTGGTGGATGTACAGCACAAGATTTTTGACTATAAATGGAGGGAATGGGCTTAGCGGAGAGATGGTTCTGGATTTTGTACATGCCAATGGGTATTCGAGGTCAGCAACGGTAACAATAACGAGAACCAATGTCACAACTGGGATCGGAACAGAACACATCATATCTTCATGAGGATACCCTAGATATGTTTTACCTCATCCGGATTCAAATAAAACGATAGTAAGTTCTTACTGGCAACTTCTACACTGCTGGAATATCTATTCTTCAATACCATTCAATTTGTGATGATTAGAAATATGTCACTTGTTTGTCTTTTTTGAATTAAGCAAAATGACTTCTCGAGTAGAAGTACAACTAACTTTTGTTAAATTTTATGAAACAATGGCTTATTTGAGTAAAGCGGTGCTATACTCAATCTATCAAATAAGATAATATAGCTGACTACAATGGCTGCAGATTTCTCTATTTTCTATTCTTCCCTCAGATTTTTCTAAAGAATCATTCTTAAATATAACAATTCCAAATTTTGAAGCTCTCTGATAAAGAATATGCTGCACTCATTTGTTGGCTAAAGAATGAAGTTCTTAATAAAATTAACATAGATAAGTCATGATACAGATCAAGCCATTCATTTAACTCTTCTTAACTTCAACACATCAACCCCCACTCTTGAGAGAATCTTTGATTATAAATGCGCTGGAGGAAGTTGTAATTTCAATGGTCGTTTGTCAGCAACATTTGACCTAGGAGGTCTTCCTTATGCATACAGCCTTAGACAAGAAATTCAATCATCCACTAAGGACTATTTCATATTCACAAAAATCCACCTAAACGACCCCTCAGCATCCCAAACACACATCTCCATTAACAACTCTCCATCCCAAATCCAATCCATCACGGCATACAACAACATTGTATACATCATTCTCACAAATGCAAAATCTCCTACAGGAGTGGCCAGCTCAATGCTACTTATTTATAATGGGACTGAAGGAGATGTATTCGAGAAATATAAGGAATGATTGAGTAACTCTCAACAGGTAATCAAAGATTTTTGGTTTATTTATTCATTGGAAACTGAAGAAACAGTATTTGTGAAATGCTGAAGTTTTGGTATTTTTATTTAAGATCTTAGCAATGAAATTTTAAGATAAATTATTTGATATAGAAATCATGAAACGTCGCTTACATCACTACTTCACACTTCGATAGCAATTCAAGGACAATTTATTCTATAAGTGTTGCTAATGTGTAAGTACTCTCATTAAATAAATGATTATTTAAAGCTAGGAAGAAATTTATTGTTAATCTTTATCTTAATTGTAGAATGTAATAAATAACTCTCTTTGTGCTTGCTATTGGTAATTATAAGGTTTTGAATCAAGTTAGATTCTTATTGAAATCAATAAACATCTTGTTTGATGCTTTACTTATTCGATATTTGAATTTTAAGCCCACTCACATTGCTAAGTCCTTCATGCATTAGTAATTTTAAAATTAGAATACTAAACCATACTTGGTTTAAGTATCATTAACATTTAATGTTCACATATGTGGACATGCAATAAAGTATAGGCTAGATGGTGGTCTTTATGTAGTATAATTTATTAGAAAATTCGTTTAAACTCGATATCAAATTGCTTTAATAATTTTAAACTGGCTAAGTTATTAATTCAGTGCAACTATTATATGTGTTTTATTAAAACCTTAGAAGTTTCTGTTTTGTTTGAATCTTTATACGAAAAGATATAAATTATAGATGTTTAATTTATTTATTAACTATAAAAAGATGTAAAAAGGAAATCAGATAATATATATGTTTATAGACTTGGAATATAATTATTTTAGGCCTAATCTTCTTTTTGTGTTTTATTAAAATCTTTTGGCCGCTTCTAGCTTATATTTTTATGAAGGATGATTAAAAGGATTGATTGATGATAAAACTTGGTATGTGTTTGTTGTTCAAAAAGTGTTTCTACCATTATTTATATCATTTTTACTAATCTGGAAGATATTGATATCCAGAATTTTCATTCAAACAAACAAGACCATTACTCCTCTCACAACTTCTTCACCGCCCAAACTACAACGAAGAATACCTGCTCCACACAATTTATCCATTAAATTCCATCTATTTCGCTCTGGGGTAATATTCCATAGGCCGATGTTTTTCGGGACGTATCAAGGAAAACCTATGATTAATAAGCTGAGTCTTGGTAAGCAAGGGGATTGGGAGTTGGAGGGTTTGTAAGCGAAGGGTGGTAAGGGGGTTAGGGAGAATGGTGACTTTGAAAGGGGAGTAATGGAGGGGTTGGATTGGGGGATTGAAGGGGATTGAAGGGGAGGTAGGATGGAAAGGGTGGAATTGGTGTGGGTTTAATGATAGATGAGGAAAATTAGGTATAAGTCGTAATTTGTACCTTAAATTTTGGAGGTTTTGTGTAATTTGTCGGAGTTATTATGATATATTGAGAATTTATAAAATAGCTTAAACTTGAATAAAATATTATAAAATTCTGATAGTTAGCCTCCCTTATTTTGTATAAATTTGTGTTTGATATTATTAATTTAAAAAATTCAGATCGATATTTTCACTCAAAATTTTCTTTCATCTCACTTCATTAAGTACACACCTTTAAAATTCATACCCTAATACAAAATCTTGTCTCAAAATGTTTACCTTCATCATAATCGAATACTCTCAAGTAATACTTCTTCGTAATAGAAACACTGAACAGCACCAAAGACTGGGAACACATCGGATCAGTAAGTCAATCCATAATACCTCTAGTATTTCCCCTCTCGAACAGAGTCAAGTCTGGACCCTCTCCCAACAAGCTTTAGCCTAAACGTGGTTTCTGGGCAGACTATTCTGACACCCTATACAGTCAGTTTTGTGAATGAGACTCATGTGGAAGCTATCAGGGAACATTATAGTATAAACGATGTATGCTCAGAAGATTATATTTTAGTTTGTCAAGGAGGTACCTAAAATTGAATTCAAAATCAACAAAAACGAGACCAAAACAATGAATATTCCTTCTGGATGTAGTTTAAGGTATACTTTTCCATAACTTCTAGTGGGAAACAAGATTTAACATATTCAATAATAAACCCATCAGACTCAGCCCTCCTTGAATTTCTGAAAGTTAACCAGACCACTGGGAAGATCACAGTGGACACATCCGATACTTGGTACGCTTAAAATCTACTTTTAGGCTAAATTTAGGAGGTTTTGGTATAAATTTGGGATTTTGGAAGCAAATTTTGATATAGATGTACTGGAACTCAGGGTGGATTTGAACAGAAAAGTAATTTATAGCTGTAATTTTTAGATTATACAGCAGTCATGAGTAAGGATTGGATGGAGAGATGGGATTAGGGGGTTCAGAGGTGAAGTGGGAGTGTTGGGATGAAGATTGGAGAGTTTGAACATAATTTTTAAGCAATGGTTATGAGAATGTAGAAAGTGTAGTACTCTTATTAAATTCAACCTTGTTTGAGGGAATAAAGATATATTAGTAAATAATTTATAGGGGGTTTTAAGAGTTTATTTTTTTCCTTTTGTATCAGTGAGGCTAAAGTTTTAACTTTCTTTGCAATTGGTAAAGATTTTATGTGGAAAATTTGAAGTTTTAAAATGAATTATAGCTAGTATTTAGAATAATTAACAGTAACATTCTATTTGCAAATAATTTTAAACTTGCAAACTATATTTGAACATGCCCACACCTCGATCAAACACCTTAAAACAACTTTGGCCTTAAAATAGTGCTTAATGTCCATACTAAAGGATGAGATGAACTAGTAGTGATACAATGCGAAGTTTTAAATATTACTTTTGGGAATAGTTTAATAGTTATCTAACTAAGTGATACTGCAAACAACATTCAATCCATAAAAATAAGACTTTAAGATTTTATTTAAGAAATTAGCTTGCTTCTTGTTCCAAATAAATTAGCTCTCAGAAGTTGTATTCTTTTAAAGCAATTGAAGAAGACTTAGAAATATCAATAAACTTGATTTTGATTAAAATTAATGCTAATTCTATGTGTTTGCTAAGAATTAAATATAGGAATTGATTCTTATTCGTTTATGGATCCAGTTGACATCCCTATGGAAATAGATGGATCAGTATATCAAGAAAAACCTCATAATAATACTCGTCCTCATACTGATCCTCATACTCATGATATCGCACCGGCTGTAGTTGCAAGTGCTATTGCTATCTCAGCAGTTGTTGGTAGTATTGCATTTGTGACTCCGAACTCAGGACTTGGAGGTTTATGGATGATTATTAATCAGCAGCAACTTTTGATCCTTTTAATGATGATAGGTAGTAGCATACACCCTGATGTAAAATTTTTCATAACTAGGACAAAATATGTTACCTTCAGTTTTAAAGAGTTATCATTAAGAAGCCTCGATTTTACTAAAATCTCAAATCAACTAGACAGCATGCATCGAAACCAAACCAATGAAGAACTAAAAGACTTAGGATATGATAGCATGTGAGCTATACAGATGAACATTGAAATCCCAATCGCACTAATCCTAATCTTCATCATCCAGCTACTTTGCATCATCGCTTGGCTCATACCTCTCACCCTGGTAAACCTCAAAATCCTACATTCCAACAAAAAATCCCAAATTTCCTTCCCCAAAAATCCTATTTTTACTAACAAAATGTCTAATTTTCGAAATTTTGTTCTCTTTCACCATCAAAATAAGGTACTGATTAAAAGTTTAGCGCAAGAAATTTAATAAGAGAACAGATGGAGTTTACAACCAGAGACCTGATAGGTACTTGGACAGTGAACAGGTTAATGGTAAAGGAGGGTTTAATTTTTTAGAAGAGATTGGGCATTTTGAGAATTTTGAGAGTACTGTGGGAAGAAGGAAGGAAGGTAAAAAGGTAAGTCTGGGAATGAGTGCTTTGGGGATTATGGTTGTTGTAGGTGAAGTTAGTTTTTGGTATCTGGATTGGAAAATTATGGATAGGGTAGGTAATATAAAGATGGAGACATCCTTATATATCTGACTTAGGTCTGTTAGAACTTACTTATAATGGCAAAGCTCCAATCTCTTCCTCAATGCTAGAACTAAGAAGTTTAGAAGGGCTTACTCCAGAGGCTCCTCTTCCATGTAAGTAAAGGCTCGGTTTGAGAATAATTGAGAGAAATAAAGGAGGACGGATTGGTAAGCCTGATGAGAGAAGAGAACCATCAAATTGGAGTCAATGCCTTGATTAGTTATGCCTTAAAAAGCACAAACTTCAACCAATCCAGTGTGGAACTAGTATCCTTCATCCCTTCCTTGCTTGTTTGACATAGCTTATTTTTATATATGATTTTAAGTGAAGTTAATAATCTCGAAAGGCATTTGGGATATATTAGTATGAAATTAATAGAATGTCTAGTTTGCTATTTTTGTAATAGTTGGCCTCTACTCTTATTTTAGATGACGGTTTGGACTAGAGTCAAGAATTGGGCAAGCTTCTATCTTCCAATAAGGTTCTTTACAAATGTGTATATGAGAATATTCCTAGAAGCATTCTTCATTGTGTCGACTACTGTACTGAATGAGCTGACCAACCCAGAATTTTCAAAGGCCTCTCAGAGTGTGTCTTTTATACTGTCTCTTATTCTACTTTTCTTGTGCATTTCATTTATTGTGTTCTTGTTTTATTACTTTTGGAAGCATCGGAATGTTGATCTCTCTGACAAGGATGATAAGAACTCAAGAATATACTTTGAAGGTAAGAAAAGAGTATCATGATAATAAACCTTTAATCACTATGTATAGAATTGTTCCTTGACCTAAAAATTGGAATCGGGAGAATTGAGAACCCACTCTCCATGCTCAGAAAGTTCATTTTCCTCTGCATAATCTTTTGTCCTGGCTTAGGAGTGATCTCAGTTTTTGTCATATTGATATTGATACAAGTAAGTCCGAAAATTTTCATGAGCTATAAATCTGGAATCATTCAATACTTTTTTGTTTTTCTTACTATTTTTGTCAATATAGATTGCCTACATAGCTCAGACTGTAATGATAAGAAAGTTCAATAGTCTTGGCTTTCACTTAGCAAGTATACTTAATGAAGTCTTTTTGGGGTTGTTCCTGGTCCTGTTCGCTGTATGGAGACACCAGAGTAGTTGGAGCAGAGGTGAGTGGGAGGAGGGGTGGAGAGGTGTTTGTGGATGTGTTGGGGGAGGAGAGTGGAGGTTTTGGGGTTGTAGGGGTGTTTGTGGGAGGGGGAAATTGGTTTGTGGGTATGGTGGTTGGGTAGGTAAGGTATGAATTGTGTATAGAAGGAGGGTTTGATAAGAAACTGTTCGTTATTTATATGATTATGATGAATACGGTTGGAGTTATCATCTTGCAATTGGTAAGTGCTTTCTGATCTGTTTAGACAATGGGGGTCGGAACTATAGTAGAATGGTTTAAGAAGAAGAAACCTGTAAAGTAAGCAAAGGAAAATCTCTCTAACAACGTGCCATTGGTGCGCTATTTGTGAGGATTAGAGAGTTTAGAGTAGAGGAGTTATATAATGATTTTGATAGTGATCTTCTGATTATGATTTTGAGATTTTAGGAAAGTTATTCTTATAGATTTGGCTTATGTTTTGTAGCCTTATTTGATTTATTTTTCTTCATAAATTTTCTGCATTAAACATTATTGCAATAATTTAAGAAGATTTTACCTTTGTTTACTTTCTTTTCAATTAAAAAATATATCTTTCTAAATATCCTAATAATTTTATAGAGACGAATCGCCTACTGCTGGCAGTCTTAGAGTAAGTTAATTCTAAAATGAACCTATCATTAATACTTTTAAGGAGTCAAATGAGGAAGCAAATGAGGAAGCTAAAGAGGAATTAAATGAGGAACCTAACAATATTCAAAACATCCCAGAATTAATTCTAGAGAACCCTTCAGATCAGACTTCCAAACACTCTCCCACAAATCTCCAAAAACATGTATCAAAACTCCAAGAACAATCCCCAAAATACACTATAAAACACTCTCCTCAGCATGTCCAAGAGCAAATCTCAGAGCACATCCCAACCCCTGCTCCAGTCCAGCTCTCCAGTGGCCCTAGACCTCCACCATCCTCTCCAAACCTCCCAGAAATAGAGCTAAGGTACTCCCCACCCCTCACAATATAGCCACAAATCCGAGGTACCCTTATTCTAACCCCACTAGTCAATCCATTACTCATCCATCAACCTTGACTCCTGCGAAGAACGTATCTCAATTCCAGCCGCCATCCAGCCAAAAGCCAATGAAAACCCAAAATTCAAGAAATTCAAGAAATTGGAGAAGAAATAAATATTGAGAAGAAAAGTGGGTAATTACTGAAGTTGTAGTTCAATATGGGTAGAAGGTCATGGGGTTTTGGGGTTTTGGGGTTTTGGGGTTTTGGGGTTTTGGGGTTTTGGG